AAGAGGGAGCAACTTCCAGTTAAAGAGAGTGAGCTTGACTTTTTAGATCTTGTTTTATACTATCAAGCCTATATGTTGACTTGTACTGAATTTTAGTCCTTTCCACTTAAATTAGATTTTTCAGTGTGCTCAGTTTTGGAAAGTTCCTGTCTGAATTCTCTCTCCAAATGCCATTAGATTCTCAGAGTATTAAAATTGATAAGGCTGTTGCCACATCCACACAAGGTCATATATACCCATTTTCCTGTGATAAGTTGACTGTATGGGAAAATCCATAATTGAAAGTTGATAAGAAAATGCTGTGATGGACTTCAATGGATAAGTTGATTTTTACCTTAGATCAATTAGGGAGTGTTGATAATGAGCTGGCTTTGCATGCTAAATATAATTTTTCTACTACACCTGGATGGAAATACTTGCAATTGCAGTATTTGTTAGCATCTAGGTTTAGCTTGCTGCTTTTACAGCTTCAGAATAACCTTTGCTATTGGAAACACCTATTGAAGCTGAGCAGTTATATGAACCCAAGATTTGTATTTGAAACATGTAGCTGTTTTGTTTGTAGCCAAATGGCCATTACAGTATAAACACTTAAAAGCATATTTGTACAAACAAGATACAAATGATAAAGGAAATACTAATATATATACACATTCATGTAATATTAAAACAGGACAAACAGTATCCCGACTTAAGTCGTTCAGATAGGCTGTTCTTATCTTTATTGCAGCTAGCACAAACAGGGCTGACAAATTTATTGCATTTGCTAGCAGCCATCTGATTGTAAATTCATCAGATAGAGCTAATGCAGTCTGAAAGGGGAAAATAAACTTGATGTTAGGTGAATTACTTAATGGACAATATAAGGCACCATGTCTTCAGTTTGGTGCAATCCATATACACAGAAGTGGTCTTTTGCTGTCATCTTGAACTAACCTTTCTTTCTTTCTTTCTTTCTTTCTTTCTTTCTTTCTTTCTTTCTTTCTTTGGCAGTGCATTTCCTCTATTTCGAAAATTCATACATGGCCACCCTAACTCTTGAGCATGTTCTAGCTCTGGATTTCCTGCACTGAACAGTTTTAGGACTAGAACAGTTTTTTAAACACAGTTTTAGGCTGTGATGTCCCCTCCAGTTTGATGATCCCTGGTTAAATTACTGCAATATGCAGGGCATGCACCTGTGAGAAGATGGAGAAAGGACAGATAAATAAGATCAGTGCCAACTAAGGAGCAGGTGCTGCTCCATGCAGCACTTACAGCGACAGTAGCAAGGCCTGCACTCCAGACACAGGGGCTGTCGGTGAGATTCTTTACCATGCAGCCATCCATCAGTGCTTATATTATGAGCTTCTATTGTATTTATCAATAGATAGATTTGCTGTGGTTGAACTTGCTATAGTGAGAAAGCCATGAACTTATAACCTGAATGTCAATAGTGTTAACTTCACGGTGTTACAGATGAAACACTCTTTGCTGTTAGTAGTTAAAAGGTATAAAGAGTGGGCACTAGATGAGCCGTTCTTTATTTGGACATCTTTGATTCAGACCAATGGGCCTCACTGTTTATCCATTCCAGCTGGTAGGAGCCTTGCTGATTGATTGCTGATTTGAAAGCATGCTAATATTATAGGTTTTCAATTTAAAAAAAATCTCATTGTAAGCAAAATGGGAGCTTGCACATCATTTTCTTGGGGTTCCAAAAACATTCAGCCCACTATAGGGGCATACAGCACTCTTCCTAAAGACTATTTAATGACAGATGTGTAAAACAAATGTATTAAAAATACGGCATCAAAATCAATACAGATAAACAAACTGAGAAAAATTATATTTATTTAATGCAATTTACCAAGGTAAATTTTTTTCCTAAGGTACCAAACTGGTGTTCAATTTTGAAAGACTAAAATAAAAAGATGTTTCAAAAAAGAAAAAGAAAATAGAAGAGGGCCCAGTTGCTTCTCCAGAAGATAATGGCACAAGCTGCCTGGCCTGGGCTTGCCTATTTCTGCCTTCACTCAGAAAGGTGGGGAGTGGGGAAGCACACTCACACCTTAAGTAGTCCCAGGGAAATGTTAGAAGAATTTCCCTCCATATTTTTCCACATGGTTCCAGTATTTTATGATGGCCCAGGTTTGCATTTTGAAAAGTCTTGTCTGTAGACAGAGCCAAAGCAAACTGTGCTTGGGCATTTCAGTGTGAATATCAGAGTGAAAGGGAGAACAACATCAAAAGGAGTCAGCAAGAGCCGAATACAAATTGATTTCTCAGCTGAAAAATTGGAGGGAGTCAAAGAAAAGCAGAAATAAATAAAGGGAAGAACAAGTTTGTTTTAGGCAGCTGCTACAAGTGGCAGAGATACAAGGCCTTTCCTTCCATACACTTAAACCAAGGGAAGATTATACAGTGGTACCTTGGTTCACGAACTTAATCCATTCCAGGACTCTGGTCATGACCCAAATTGGTTGTGAGCCAAGTTAAATTTCCCCATAAGGTTCTGTAACCATTTTTTAAATCAGAAACATGTGAATTAAAGTGACAACAAAGATCATGGCCATCACCCCACCCCCCACCCCAAGCACAAGCATGACCTTCTCCCTACCCCCCCCCCCCCCCCCACCCCAAACCCCCCCCCCCCCCCCCCCCCCCCCCCCCAGCACAACCAAGATCACGCCTGTCATCCCTGTAGGCACCTGTCATCCTGGCGTGCTGGGTGGTGGTGGGGGAGATGGGCATGATTGCGGGCACACTGAGGGAGGGAGAGATGGGTACAAACAGTGCGCTGGGTGTGGGGAGATGGCCTCGATCGCAGTTCCGTTCGTGCAGGGAAGGGGTGCCTGATCAGAGGCGCGCTGCTGCAGGAAAGACGGGCGGATTCTCGGCCATCTCCCCCACGGCTCTGCTTTGCTGCTCCCGTCTTTCCTGCAGCAACGCACCTCTGACCAGGAACCCCTTCCCTGCATGAAAGCAACTGCGATTGTGGCCATCTCCCCATTGGGGGGGGGGCGGGGTAGATGGCTGCGATCTTGGTTGCCACCCAAAGCAGTGTTCACGACCCAAGTCAAAATTTTTCAGAAATTTTTGTTCGTGACCCGATCTGTTCGTGAACCAAGGAGTTTCTGAGCCAAGGTACCACTGCATGATGTGGAGGAAGAAGTGAACTGCAACAAATGAGCAGCAGAAAGATACAACAGAATTGGTCTTGTTGTTCTATAGCAGTGAGGAAAGAAATAGAACAAAGGCAAAGTCTTTGGATATACAATTTTTAAAGACAAATTTGACAGTTTTATTTTGCATGTGAAAAGATTGTACGAGATACTTGATGCCAGCTGACACCAAAATACTGGAAGGAAACCTGTAAATGATGAATGGAGATTGTATTATAATATCTTCAAATAACCCCTTCAGAATTAGAGTTAAATACAAAAATTATAGTGTGACAATAAGAGTCTTCCATAATGACAATGTCATCATTGAAATGAGAAGTGCAGCATTTCAAAAGATACAGTGACCTTCTGGGATCAAAAAACATAACGATATAGCCAGATAGCTCCCTATATTTAGGAGCCAAGAAAACTCATTTTGAAAACTTCCAGAAAGGAAAGGCTATGTTAATGAGAAATGAATATTAAATCATGATACATACTGTCAAACCTCCACATTCTCATGGGTTAGGGATGCAGTACCCCCGTGAAAGTGGAAAAACTGCAAATATCTGTAGCCTGCTGCAACCTTAACTCTCAGTACAGTTGATCATCTGTGTACCAGATAGCTTCTCCCTCCTCCACCCCCTCCCCGTGTGTGTGTTAGCCTATGTTGTTGATACAGACACCTACCACTTAAGTGGAAAACATTTTTAATTTTAAAAATACCACTAACTTTATGCCTATGTGAGGATAGGCTTAGGGTCAGAGCCATGATTACAGTCAGTATTTTATTGCATTTTGAAGATGCCAAAAGTTCCAAGAAATGTGAGGCAAACCACACATTGAGAGGCAAAACTCATGAGTGAGGCTAGTTAGGACAAGACAAAGAGTGTGGCATCCCCAAACAGAGTGTGTCATCCATAGTTCTTTAGCAGTACTGAAACTTTTTACAAAATTTAACTTTTTATAATAAATTTGAGTGTATATTTCTGGTAGTAAATGATAAAAATATTTTAATAATGCATATATTTTATGCATTTCTGACTTACTAAACTTTTTTTTTACTTTTCTTTACATTTTCGAGTTTATGTGCATTGTCTGTGATTTTCCACAGGCCACAAAACTCCCAAAAAAATTCCATTTAATTATTGATGTCAAACTCACAAATAATCAGTCCACAGAAGTTAAACTCTGTGGAATGTGCTCCCCAGAGAGGTCTGCCTGGCGCTGTCGTTATTTGTTTTTCAGCACCAGGCCAAGACCTTTTTATTCAAACTATTTTATTTATTTATTATTTATTTAAAACATTTTTATGCCGCCTCCATCGCAACGAAGCCTCGGGGTGGCTCACAACAGAAACAAAATACATAAATACATACATAAATAATAACAATATAACAATTTAAAAACCCCCGGTGCATCTTGGCTAAAAATTTAAAATCCTATAAATACAAATAATTTAACAATTAAAATAAGTTTTGAATACAAAGGTCTTAGCCTGACGCCGAAGAACAAATAACGACAGTGCCAGGCGGACCTCTCTGGGGAGCGCATTCCATAGATGGGACGCCACCGCAGAGAAAGCCCTCCTCCGGGTACTCACCCTCCTAATATTCACAGAGGGTTCCCGGAGAAGGGCATCTGTTGCTGATCTCAATTTTAATAATGTTTAATATTTATATATTTTAATTGTGCAGCCAGTGTGTTTCCAGGCTTTAAATGTAATTGTAATTGATTTATTTATTTATCTCTGTGAGCCGTCCCAAGGCTATGTAGCAAGGGGACGGCATATAAAAACTTTAAATAAATAAATAATAAATAAATAAAGTCAAGGTTCAACTACCTTTCTGTTTTCAGGTTAGGTATAGTATAAAGCCACACAGGAGGAAAGGCATCTATTGGGAGGTAATGATGCAGCAGATCAGTTGAATTCTCTGGATTAATCTTTTCATGTCATTGTGCTCTAACCCATAGTATTAGAAATAAAAACAATACTTCATAATCACTAAATATGGAGTGCCTTCCTAGCATTAGCACAGTGTGTTGAGGTTATATCATCTTGGTGGGAAGCTGAATGTCCTAAGTTTTTAAAGTAGTGTTCTGATTAGAGAAGTACTTCTGGTCTAATAAATTTAAAACTATTTTGTAATACTTATGAAAACTAGTAAGGCAGAGTGATGAATTGTAAAACATCATTGCACAGTCCAGTTGCTGGTGTTAATATAGAAAAAGTACCTCCTAATTTCCAACCTGATCACTTTCGGAATGGAGTGGGAAAATGTAGAATTCTCTAAAGAAGTGTGGCTAGCTTTAAATCAGGGATATTTAAATGTGTGATTTAAATCATGACTTAAATCAGCAAGAAAAAAGGCTATTTATATCACTCATTTAATTCAAATTTCTCATTTAAACTTTTTCATGTATTTCCTGAACAGAGATGCAAATTTGTGCAGGAAATTTGAACAGGGACGCAAATTTGTTCAGAAAACCAAGCTAGGTCAATTTACAACTAGAAATAATAGCATTTTGCACAGTTTCATTTTTTTGCATCTCTTTGCTCACCATATATATTTTAAATGCTTTGCTATTTTACCTAAAGAGCAAAGGAATGCCTTTAAAATAAGATATTTCCTTTGATCAGCAATCAGAACAGTTTGAGTACTCTTTTCATGAACACAGAACAACAGTGGCCCTATTTAACCTGTGTCTTTGCACAAGTGACTTTAGTCAGAGAAACTGAATCCCACATTTTGCAAGAAGATCTGGATAGAACAGTTTTCATGAGATGTGAAATTAATGTCCATGTTCAATTAATAGGCATTTTCAGTTTTATGAGATTGTAAAAGTAGATTTAGCATGGTTATGATAAGAAATAATTATAACTGTATGAAGTTTTTGAGAGAGAAATATAGTAATTTTATCTTTAAAAAATAAAAAGATGTAAACAAAAACAATCCAAGTTAATTTTTTAAAGAATCTGATTTTAATTTTTAAAATATCATTGATTTTTATCTACCCTGATTTAAAGCAGCTTCATAAAGTTGTAAAGTAGATATGATGCACGACTAGGGGATATAATTTTATTACATTTTATGTTATTTTGTTTTATGTATGTTGTAAAAAGGACAATTATGATTCTTGTTCAAAATTGCATCTGAAGGAGTCATTTCACAAGATAATTCTATTGTCTGCAGTTCTGTGCTCATTTTCTTGGAAATAAACCCCATTAAGCTCCATGGGCCTTATTTCAGAGTAAACATGGAGGATTGTACCAACTGTATTTGGGATTGAGCTGGAACCATTTATTTCATTTTGTATTCCTTTGTCACAAGTAGAGCCGGCTAGAGCCAGGGGTCAGACTAGAAGGCCCGGGAGTCCCCTTAGGACTTGCTGTTTTCTATGTTTCTATGGGTTCCCAGCATCCCTTCTTATTCCAAGCTAGTTTCTGACACATTTACATTGTTTTGATGTTGTACTTGTCTGTGTCATTTCCTTCTCTGTCCTCTACCTCCTTGTTCACACTGCCATGCAATAATCTGGTTTTACTAACCTATATCAGTGATGTCATGGCCCCACATCTGACATCAAGGACATTTGCAAACAACATATTGTGGTAACTGGGAGCTATGATTTGCAGTTACATTTAAAAAGCAGGGACACTCCTGAATAGACCTGGGCATTGTACAGCCCACGGGCCACATCCGGCCCTATGGCTGACCCTGACTGGCCCGCATGAGGTCACTGGCAAATTAAAAGTCAATGCAAATATATATCGTCATAATATAGATGCAAGCAATACAACTGCACTGCTTTTATTTTGAAGGTTCTGCTAAACTGAATTGAATTTATTGCTTTTCATGTAATGTTAATGTTTTTGTGAACATTCATTAAATAGTGTTGTTCTGTGCTCCATATTTTCATTGTATCATTGTAATGTTTCATTTACTGTTTTTATAGAGATATATATTGAGCAGAGCTGTAAGTGTATTGGTCCGGCTCTTAACAACTGTCAAAGTTTCTCATGTGGCCCCATAGGAAAATTAATTGCCCACCCCTGCTCCAGAAGAATGACCATAGTAAAGGGAGAAGGAAGGAAGTAAATGGTCCTGAGAAGAAACATCAGCCTGGGGATCACAAGGGTAGCAGAGAACATTGGCAGAATGCTAATATTTGGCAAGATGAGCAATAAGTTTTGGCTGCAAACGCATGTTACAAAAAGCGACAAAGTCCATTTACAGTGAAATCTGTGTTTCCATGTGTGATTGTAATCAGGGAACATTTTAACAATTGAATGCTTTCACACTGACTTCCCAAAAATGCCAGTACAGGAGATCTTGCAACACTGGAGATTTTTCCACAACTGTGCCAAATCTCAGCCAAATCCTAATTAAATGCTTGCTTCAGATCTGTTGAGCACAAAAAATCACTGAGTAATGGAAGGTGCTCAATTCAGGTATTCACATGCATACCTGTATAGCTCTTTACAAATGCAGTGTTTCTGAATTATTCTAGAAGCAGAGAATAACTGAGGCCAAAGATGTTGTAATCTTTTCTTGTGTTCTTCAGAGTACTCGAGTGGCCTTGGAACATCTGGAGTCTGTTCCTGAGAAACTGAATCTTTTAGAAGATTTCAGAGACTTTGGAGTGAGAAATGTTTTTCTCTAGACAATTGTCATGTCTTTCATTAGAAAATATTTAGCATATTCATGTATCTTGGGAAACCTATTATGTTGAGACAAAATCTAAACTCTAGTTCACCTTAATCCTTATTTGAATGTCAACTATATATTACATGTGTTAGCAACCCTGAATGGACTCAGCCTACAACAAATTTCCATTGCATTCTTGCCCCTTTATCCTAATTGAAGAGATCGCTCCCAAGCACAGTTTTTTCATCCTGACTTAAAACTGAGCCCATTATATAGAGCTTCCAAGTAACTATATGGTAATTTTAATGTTTAATATAATTTAGTTAAATATATAATTCCATTTTGCATGCATTTTTGATCTGAAAACAATATTTTAATAAGTTGAACTTTTATCCCTGTGGCGGCAGCTCTTAGTTGTGTTAATATTTGAAAAGTGTTAGACTGTGTTTGGTTTGCCGAGACATCATGCTCTTTATCCTACAAGCATCGCCTTCCTGATGATGGCGCCCTGGGTGCTTGTAGCTTCACAACTGGTATTACTCACTTGATAAACCTGCAAAGACTGCAAAATGAATAGGACAGCTGTTTGATTATTGAGCTTGTTCATTATGCAAGGTAAATAAGTCATTCTATGTCAGGATAAAATTTATGCCAGATATTTAACATGCAAAAGTTCTGAATGAGTTATTCTATTGTTTGCTTTTGGTTAATTAGTAAGGTATTTCATATATGATATGGGTCACAAGACTATACACAATTGAAGTATGTAAGCTATTCAAAGTCACACTAAAACAAATTAATTCACTAAGTGGGGACTTATTTTTTAATATCATTTTGAAAAGGTTATTTAATTGCTCTTTTGAATGTCTAAAGATACTCAGGGTGAGTTCATTGAACTAAAAAGCAAAAGCAGAAGATGCCTCATGCTTTATTATCATGTTTGAACGTTGACAAGAGAAGGAATTAATGAGGAGCAAATGGAGAATCCTATTAAGTCCTCACTGTGACACCAGCCCAACAGAATGACATTGACTTGATTCTTAAGATAGAACAAGCCACCATATAATGCCAACACAGTGTGGGTTCTGCAATGTGATTTATTTTTTCATGAAAAACTCACCCTGTGAAACCATGGCTTGTTCTGGGGGTTGTTCAACCCACAATGTGTTGCCGTGTCATGTGAACCCAGCTAGTGATTTTCTTGTGGGTTGAAAATGAAAACAGATTGCAAGTGGAACAGGAATTCCATCACAAACAACAGCAGGCTATGTGCCATAGCTGTGTTAAAGACCAAAGGGAAGGAGAAGGAGAACATCCCATGGTATGCCTAATAGTCTGTTGTGTGCACCTTGAGGTGTTCAGCAAACAGCCAAATCACCATGGGTTGTTTGCTGGGTGGTACAGTATGAAACGCCTGACCACTCTTTAGTTAACATTCTGTGGTTATTCTGGGATAGAACAGTCTTCAGTTTCTGGGAGTGGAATAACATTGAGGCAAATGAATGAAGAGGTTTCAAACGATCCAGAAGATGAAAGATGTCTGCTTTTGCAGAAAGCCGTTTACTCAGCCTGTATACTCTTATACTTTTGTCCATGCAATCTGTCTCTGCGCTAACAATGTAGCCCCAGCAGAAGTGGGACTCTTTTGTCCCTCCCCAACCCATTTCTCAGGGTATCACCTGAGAAACTCAACCCTGGGATTAAAGACTGCTCCATCCCAGCACCAGCAAGATAAGAACCAATTTTCCTTTTAAATAATACCAATGTTGTACCTGGTGGCTGTACATCTTAGAGAAGTGATGTATGTGAGCACAACATCCCACAATTTGTGCTGCAGCCACAAATCTTTGCACGCACACATCTTAGCAGAAACCATTATCATTCAGCTGCTCTGTTTGTGGCAACTGCACACATAAAGCATCTCACTATTTATCCCAAGAGGATTGTCTTGTTCTTTTACATGACCAGTGTTACTATTTCTCCCATACTGAAAACTTTCTTTGCAATTTCAGGATTCTTATAAGCGGACAGAAGTTATGGAAGAGAGATCCAGTAAATACAAGGAAATTTTGGGCTCTTTACAACAGCACCTGGAAGATTCAAAGCGCAGACTTGAAGATTTCAGAGTAGGTTTCCCTCCTCACCATTTCAGTGTTCCTCTGTATGTGAAATGAGCTCTGTTGACTAGAGTTCTGGATAGCTTATAATCACATAGCAAAATGCCAATTCTATTCATTGAAAATATATCAGGACATCACATTGCCTTGCGAGGTCAGCCCAAAGGCTTCCAAAGACCAGACCTCTGTCTCCAAGTAATGACCTAGCAAGCTTCTGGGTGAAAATAACCATCTCCTGTTTGTTTGGGCTGAAGATCTGGTACGCAGAGTTTTCTTACTTCCTGACCATGGAGAATCCAAATATAGGTTTAATAGCTAATGGGTATTGATAGCTGCATCCTCTGTGAATGTGTCCACTCCTAAAATATGGAGGTATGACTTCATGGAGCATATGTGAATGGCATTAACCTCCTGACAATTTATTTCATTTTGAGAGAAAATATTGTTTTCTTTGGATCCATGATTTGCTCATAATTTTATAAAACTCAGTTATGTTTTAAAATAGCTCTTGCTGGTAGAGAAGGCACTCCAGCCTTCCCAACTATCATTAGAGATGGGTTAGCTCAGCCTAAAAGAATAATTTGGGCTGCCAATTGTTCAAGTCAAATAGTTGAAACACAGGGCTCTTTGTTTGCCTTGTTTGGAGTCCCATAGACCAATTCCTCCAATTCCTCCATCCAAGGGATGTCTATCCTTGACATCTCTTGCACAATGTCCTGGGCTGTGCAGAGATAGATGCCATTTCCAGCCTGAGATCTTGAGTGTTGGCAAGTCTCTCCAACTGCAGGCACCACATCAATTCCTGTAAGAAGTTGCCAGCAGGTGGGGATGTTAGAGAAGTCTGAAAGAGTTTCAGATGCCTTCAGATCCAACCCACAGATTCTGCAGTGGGCCAGCATCTTCTCAGCCATGTAGATGCCATGGGCTTGTGAACTATTTTTTTAATTTTCTGGAATTGTATGCAAGTTTACTTGTGTGAAAATATGAAAGTTGCTAGAAAATATGGCAATGTATGCTCCATTTAAAAGAAACACATCATTTAATACATGTCTGATCTCAGTTCAGTTTGTGCAACACAGTACTCTTTTTTTTTTTTTTTGCACACATTGAGTGTACACTGAGCTAAGAAAACCAAGCAAAATGTTACGTTTCTATCAATGAGTGGATGACTGACTGAAATGATGCCCCGCATCCTCAAAACAAAAATGGAATGGAATAAACCAAATGCATACATCTTTATTGGCACTATGCAACCCAGGCAACTTCCTATATACAGTCTTGAAAAATGCAAGCTTGAGCCAAGCATACACTTTTTGACCATAAAGGCAGGTGCTGACAGCATTCTCAGTTCCTGTGGGCTCAGGTGTTACCACAGCCCAGGAGATTCTGAGCATTCTCAATGCCCACAATCTTTTGCACCCAAGAGCTGGCAACTATAGACCGCAGACTGAAGACAGTTCATCAGAGCACAAGAAACCACTACCAGGCGCACTGAGCTGGCGATTGTGGGTGTTGATGGCACTGTCAGTTCAGGCTGCAAGGCGTCCAATCCAGTGTGGCCCAGGATCTAGACTGTGTAGAGAATATGTGTTCTTATCATCTCCCGTGCAAGTGGTGGAGGCAGCAATGAGCCTTGATGCAACCAGGGCCAAGTTCAAAGGAGATGGATCAGCAGGACCAATTTAATTATATAAGCAGGAGTGCTTCTATTTTGCAAGTATCCCATCTTCAAATACTTGCCACATTAGAATCAATCGATGTTGGGGTCAACATTGAGCACCAGGACCAGATCTCCACATGAGCATCTCAGGAGTGCACAGGTCTGTTCTTGGGTTACATGGATACAGGACTTTAATCACTACAGTGTTGTACAGTCAGGTAGTGATGCCCTGAAGTGGGAACTATCCCCAAGTTGCCCTATCGTATATTACCTGCGCTTTCTATTGAGAATCCCATACAATATTCCATTTTTGTTTAGACCATTTTGAGCTAATAAGAAAAAGTAACAGAAGTCCCTAGTAGACATGGAGTCCTTATTTTGTGACATTTTGCCTCCTAGATTACTGTTCTGACTTTTTAGGACATTTCGTTGGGATCTCTTTATCACAAAAGTGAATAACTTGAACTGTTACTACAGGGACTCCATTAATAGAGTGCCAAGCAAGTCTTTAACTTTTAGTGCTTTGGGGTTTGTTAGTTTAGAATAAATATATTCAGCAGATCTAATTATTTGTTTGCAAATGCTTATTTCATGCTGCAACAAACTGGCTAATCATCATTCACCAAATGCCACCTTCCCTGTTTGAGGACTGTGTGTGACAATGAGAGAGACACACATTTATTCCACATATTGTAGCAAGAATGTGCAGATTTCTCAGCAAGTACAGAAAGTGACCTTTCCGAGAATTTTAAGTGTTGACAAGGATGCAGAATCTAGAAGGAAATCAGATTTAATGCTAACTAGTAGATTTACATTCTGAACACTGAAACTAGATTTTATCAGTTTGAAAGAATCCTGCCACATTATATAACCCTGGCTTCAGGCTGTTTTTAATCTCAAAAAGATAAAGAAAATACATCAAAATCAGCTTCTTTCATAGGATGAATTTCATTCGCTCTCACAGGATAAGAAAACCGGTGCTGATATTTCTGCTATACAGAGTGCATCTTCCAACTGGAGAAGCAACACCAGCTTTATGTCCAGTTCCTTGCTTTCCAATTCAGGATGTAAGTATTGATCTTCCATGAAGAATCCTTATAAAACCTTTTAATGGGAGGGCATAGTGATCATTTTTCCATTTTCATTATTGGGATCCTTAGAGCTTTCTCTATTTTTTCATTTTGTTGGTCAGTATTTGCCACTAGAAAATAATGCAAGTCAGGAAATATTTTGGTGTGGTACTTTCCATCATAGAAATTGTGTGGACACTTGGCCAGGGGCCAGCTTAAATGAACTAGCTTCCCCTTTTAGTGTGTCCTGTAGGTCTCAGTACAAAATAACATCTCCTTTTGGGTGACTTCTTGAGGGTCCCCAGCAGGTTTTTCTACATTGCACATGAGTACCACTGGTTTATTTTCATTTAAGCAAAGTAGTGAATATATATTCGCAGAAGAATTTGAGCCAATGGCTCCAATGTCCAAGACCCTTCTTGACCAATGCCCTTCTTCGGTCAAGAAGAAAAAACTTGAAGGAATTTATGTCATCCCAATGCTATAGAGAAGAAAGTATTTTTTTAAGTTTATAGCTCACCTATTTTCATGCAAAGAAACTCAAGATGACAGACAAATAAAGTAAAGAATATTTAAAATAATCTTGAAACCTGAAATAAACAAACTACAAAAAGTTTATAAAGACAACCAATTAACTGAAGGGGCTAAAAAACCATTTTACCAGCAACCCTCTTAAGCAGCAATCCTATAATGAATAGGCAGAATCTAAATGGCTATAGGACAATTTAGAGTCCAGCTCTGACCTTAGAAATTTGTATCAAAGAAATTGCTGGGACATGGAATTTGAAGTGCCCTTCCCTTTGCCCTTGCAGCCAACATGGAAAGAACCAGAACAACCTTGGAGATGGCAGTTTTTTGGCCTAATGCGGGGTGGGTAGAGGAGGAGATAGCCATCACCAGGATATATGGTACCCTGACAGTGTGTCCAGCCTTATCTTCTTGTGCTCTGGAGCAAACCACCTAGATCACCAAACTCAACCATCTTAAGTGTATAGCCGTACAAGTACAAAGGTGATCTTCACTTCCACTCACCTTCCACCCTGGACAGGATGCCTGTAATCCTCTGGAGGGTTACAGATGACCTCATTGGATTGTACTACTAAACAGTCATGGTTTTTCTACACACTGCCTAAAATACTGCAAAATCTCTTTTGGTACAGTACTCCATAAAGTGGATGCAGTCCCCTGAAAGTTGTAGATCTTGTGGCTGCCCATCTAGATTCATGAACCCAGGACTCCTGAAGTAATGCTCTAGAAAGAACTAGAGGATGTCAGGGTGAACGAGTGAAAGAGGCTGTCTTTAAGATAGCCAAGCCTTTTAAAGTTTAAGCATTAACTCCAGCAACTTGAACTGAGACCTGAAACAAACTGGTAGCCAGAGCAATTCAACTTAAGCAAGCATAGCATAGTCAGAAATGCCTAACTTCCACCTGCAACTGTTGCATCAACTGTACTTTCCATTGCTTTTCAAGGGTACCTCCATGTAGGGCATGTTGCAGTGGTACAATCTGGAGAAAATTGAGATAGATAATTATAGCAGCGTCTTCCTTTGTCAGGAACATTTGTAGCTGATGGACCAGTCAACAATGAAAAGAGCACTTCTCAGATCTCATGCAATCTGCACTTTTATTCGGAGTGCTAGATGAATGAGCACCACCAAATGATGAACCTGATTTTTCAGAAGACATGCAATCCCATCTAAAACATATTGCTTACCCAATCCCAAGTCAGGTAGTTTACCTATCCAACAGTATTTCTATCCTGTTGGTCTCCTTTTTGCACCAACCAATCCCTTAAAGCCAAAGAAGCAACCAAAAAGAGGTTACTTCCCTTTGGTGTTGTGCCCCTTCTGGATTGGCCTACTGTTATTGACAGGCTCCAAGGAAATGGGTGCAGAAGTCACCACCCCACCCCAGAAAGACAAGAGTAATAGAAAACCAGCTGCTCAGTGAAGATGACAAAAAAGACTGAGAAGTGTTTAAATAAAGCAAAACTGTTCAACTTCTATTTTGGCTCAGTCTTCTTCCAAAGGAGGGTCTGTGTTCCACCTTTCATATATGCTGACAGGCTAAATGGGTAAGATATGTCAGGGAATATCTAGTTAGCTGAAATGAATTCATGTCCCCAGGATTAGATTAACTGCATCCTAGGGCAAGGAAGGAATTAGTGGAAAGACTCTTAGAAGCTCTGTCTGTTACCTTTGAGAAATCCTAGAGAATGGGTAAAATCCTAGTGAAGCAGATTATAAAGTATTCAGTCTATAGAAACATTTAGATTAATGAGCTGATCACTGGAAACCAGCATGGCTTTGTCAGGAACAATACCTGTCAGGCTAAGTTTATTTCATATTTTGATTCCTTAGTGCATCATGAAAATGTTATGGACTTAATCTATACTGGCTTCAACAATGCAGTTGAAAAGTGTCCCATGATATTCTGATCTGCAAACTCATTAAGTATGGGATGGATAGCACTACTACTAGGTGGATCTGCAGTTGGCTGGGAAACTGAATTCAAAGAGTATATATCAGTGGTCCCTAATCTTACTGAATGGAAATACCAAGTAAGTGCCACAAGGCTTGGTTCTGGACCTGTATGCTTCAAGATGTTTAATTAATGACTTTGAGGAAGAAGTGGAAGAAATGCTCATTATATTTGCAGATGACAAAAAATTGACTGGGATAGGTAATACCTTAAAATGCAGAAACAACATTCAAAATTATCTTGATAGATTAGAAAATTGGATAGAAAATAACAATGTAGGTTTAGCAAACTCAAATGTAGACCTCTTCATTTAGGAATAAGAAATCAAAAGCATAGGTATAAAAGGCAGAGGAGATACTTGACTCCGCGATATTCAAGTACACATGAGCAAGATTTAGAGTTGTAAACTGAATATGGGTCAGCAGTGACCCATTTGCAAAAAAGGCAAATACAATTTTAGGTTGCATCAATGGAAACAGAGTCTTCAAACCACGGGAGGTAATATTTCTGTATTACTCAGCTCAAAATTTACCTTGAATCCTGCGTCCAGTTCCACACACCACACTTTAAGAAGGATTCAGATTGCATGGAACAAGTTCAGGAAGGGACAACAAAGATTATTAGGACAATAGAAGTTGAGTCCCATGAGAAAAGGAACTGGATGTGTTTAGCCTTGATGAAAGAAGAGTGGAGACTATGATTGTAGTGTTTTTGTCAGAAGCCTCTTGGGCACCCTGGAAGAGGCAACCAGTGAGGAGCAAGGATTAGTCTCGGGACTGATACCAACCTCTGTGGATCACCTGAACAGGATTGATGGGGGAAAACATCTTTCCATGTTCATACCTAAAGACAGATAACCACACTGATGGAAGGAGTCTGCAGAGTAAGATTGCCAGCCAAGTGTTAACAATGTTCAGGCTCTGATTTCAATCCTCATTGTTGCCTCTTGGGTCCATTTCAAGTGTCTAGGCAATAGTCTTTAATATTATAATATAGATCATTTTCAACTTGGAGCAATTATCAGATATCCCGAGCTAATGCATAATGAGATTACAAACACTAATCTCTCACTTCCTCAGAAATCTCCAACAAGTGGACTTCCTTCCACTTTCTTTGTTATTCTTTCTTCCTCACTAGCTTTTTCCAGACACTTGGTGCTGCTGCTGCAATGATCTAGAAGCTGGAGCACTGGGAAGCAGCCACTCTGACAAAGCAGTGCCAAGTATCAGGTGCCAATATAGAGAAATAGAGATATATCCATTTTTTTGCTGATGGAGAAGTAGGAGCAGCAAGGCAAGTGAGCAAAGAGAGGCTTGGAAGCTAGTAGAGGAGGCTAGAGGATTTGAAGGCTCATGGCAGGACTTGTGGGTGGCACTGGACCTGGATATGGTATGCAAAAAGGGTCTGCTTTCTCTGTTTTTTTTAATGGAGGAATAGTTTGTTTTTTTCTGAGCAAATTCAAGTAAATGTTTCACTTAAGTAAAGGTGATCACAGTGTCTGTGGATGCAACTGAAGTATGAGGGGGTGAACAAGAATAATTACACCTACACTTCTGAGTTACCAAACTGCAGTGCCTCTTTTATCTACTGGAGCTCTGAATAACTGTTTCAAGGGAATGGGTCTTTTGACTGGGAGGTAATTGCAGATGGGCAGATCACGACATTATCTTCTTGTTCTGTCACCAGATGAGGAAATTACGTTAATCAGGATATTTTCTTTATAGAATCTACAATGTAGAGGGGTCAGGTAGGCAAAAAGGATCAGGAGGACAATAATTTCCATAATTGAAAAACTATTACCTGCTCATTTAATTCTATAGTTAATACCTCATTTTTAAAATATCATAACCTTACATAGGAGCTCCAAATCAAGGTTTGCTTAAGAATTTCAGACTAAACGGTGATCTTATCAACTCAGGCAGAGATAAAGGATTGTGCTGTTACAAGGGCCCAGGTGTCAGTTTCCTAGCACAGGAATATAACTGTTTTCATATCAAAGGGGGAGAAGTGTTATTTTAGAGATGATGGCACAAGCTGAATTATCCAGTCTGTTTTTGCATATAGCTTACCTCTGCTGATTAATTAATAGGCAACACACACACAACCTAAATAATAAAAAGGATTACAGTTAAGAGCAACAATTTTTAATAAACCTTTCAGCAAAGTATAAGAGACCTTTCATTACTCCAGGAGCAGCAATGAACCTATTGCTCAGTGAGAGCTGAACACAGTCATAGAACATATGCTATATGCTAAACAGCTTGGGAGCGGAATATCTAAAGAAATGCCTGTCTCCATATATCCCCAGCAGACCACTTAGATCTTCAGTGGAGGCCCTCCTTCACCCACCTCCATGAGAGGGAAGCTGGTGAGGCTTTCTAGATCCTCTTATGGCCTGGGAAAATCTCATCACAAGCCAGGTGGTGGGAAGGCTTTCTGCAGAGCTTCACTAGCCAGAGAGAGCAGCCTGTGCAGCTCTTCAAAGAGCTGTCAAGTCCTAAATGCCTTGGCTCT